GCCCAGGGAGGGCCACTGTTCCCGAGTTAGGCATACGGAGGGCCAAGGGGTGAGGCCAAGGCCACGGAGGCCATCCAACCATGGCCTTCAGCGTTTCCTGCTCCGCCGTGGCCTCCTGAACTGTCTGATCCGCTATGGCCTTCTGAGCTGCCTGTTCCGCCAGGGCTCCCCAAGCTCCCTGTTCCACCAGGGCCTCCTGAACTGCCTGCTCCACCATGGCTTCCTAGTCTGCCTGCTCCGCCATGGCTCCCCCAGCTGCCTGAGCTAAACAAAAGGACATTATTCTTAAAAGAACCGTTTTTTTCTCAGTGTGATGAACAACTTATTAATCTAAAGAACGTTTTTTTTCCACTTCAAAAAACCTTTAGCACAATGAACAGGTTGTGTCGATGTTAAAGGATGAAACTATAGACGCCAATAAAGAAAGAAGAAAGCATTTAGACACATTTGTTATGTCCCAGGACATATTATTATATATTTGTTGTGCGTTACATCTGTGGATGAAACTGTTGATGTACCTGGGTAACTGCAGTGTTTTTGTACTTTTGTTTTCTTGCTTGATTTCCTTGTTCTTTCTCAATTTCACAAACAATTAAAAAGGAATGGCAAGTAACTTAAAATTAAGCATGAAAATCTGAAGTAGAAAAAACTAAATAGTATTTTTTTTTTGTTGTAAAACGTTCTCCAATAATCTATATTTACAACTCAGTGAGGGATTAAAAAAAACACTTTCTCGATGCATTTCATTAGGCTAAAGACCAGAGACGAGAGAAAACGGGAGATAATCGACCCATCACAGTCTACTGCACATTAGGACAACACCAAAAACCTACAATCCCCCTGAAATAGACCATACAGTTTATTCAGTGGTGTACAAACAACCAAAGAAGAAACCATCCGCCATTTCACCCGATGACACTTAAAATGAAACTGTCTATTTGTCATGCATGGGGAAGTTGTCACAAGACTTGATCTCAAAATGGCATCCTTTGTTACATGCCCCATGTTTTGTATTTCTTGTGCTTTACTTTACTGCTGTACTTTATATTGACTTTTAAATTGCATTTTGCCCCATTCTGTTCTTGTTTCCTGTTTCTTGTGTCATGTTTGTAGTTCCTTTGCAGTAGTCGCCATCATGTTACAGACTCTTACTATTCTTTGCCATATCTCTATATGGTTAAAAAAAAGGTATGCTGTTCTGCTATTCAGCCAAAGTTGTTGTATTCTCTAGCATTGGTTTAATATATTGCTTTCAAACATCCACAACCAAACTGTCTTAATATTTTTGTGTGAATTCTGAATTTTTTTGTGTGAATTCTGAATTTGATATTGTTACACAGAACATATAACTTCTACAAAAAAAAAGAACCCCAAAGTGAGCAATATTAACAGAAGTGAAAAGGAGTGTGACAACTAACCCCACATGAAAATGAGCAAATAGGTATAATATTGACCTCACCTCTCATGTTATATTTAACAAGTATGCATTTGAATTCTAACATATCCAGTACAAACATGACTTATACCGCAAGTATTACTTGTAGAGTTGCCAAATTACAAGTTTTTTCAGTCCATTTTGACTGAAAACCAGTAGATGGCGACATTTAATCTTATTTCTGACCATTTGTTTCTCGTCCAGTGAAACATTTATTTATTTTTAATCGTATTTAAATTACGCTTTTGTTGATTCTTGGCTTAGTCTTGGAGATATCTTTACCTGAGAAAACACCGATGAAGCTTACGGAGACCCGCACATCATGCAGACAAAAATACATTTATCCACAAATTAAGAATGAATTCCCACAAAGTAAGAATTTGTTCCCTTGTTTTTGAAACTAATTTCCTTCATTTTAGATAATCATGGCCACAAATTAAGAATTTGTACACACTAATTTGTTCCCTTGCTTTTATAATGTTAATTTGTTCCCTTGTTTTGATTGAATTAAAACAAGGGAACAAATAAATGTAATATGACCAAGCATAAATCATGACTTAAAGTACAGACTAAAAGAGGTTTAACAACTTTTGGGGGACCAGTCATGAGTCAGGAACTGAAATCAGGAAGTCAGATTTCTGTAAGCAGCCATATTTTAGACAACAGTGCAAACCAATGCCCAAAATAGCATCATACAACCTCACTGATATGTCTGCCATTTCACAGCAGCTCTTAGACTGTCACCTAATGGGGACCTCTTCATCATCTCCCACACTCTCAGAAATAAATGTACAACAGCTGTCACGTGGGTGGTACCTTTTCAAAAGGTACATATTTGTACCTAAAGGGTCCATTTTGGTACTTTAAAAGTACATATTAGTACTTAAAGTGTACATATTAGAACCTAATGGGTACAAAAGTGTACCTTTTGAAAGGGTACCGCCCCAGTGACAGCTTTTGTACCTTTATTTCTGAGAGTGAGTGCAGGGGTCCAACTGTTTTGTGTAATGCGAAAATATTTAGGTTTGAATGAACACTAAAGTTGCCTCTCACAGTCATGATTTTTCTTTTGAACTGGCACTAAAGCTAAGCGGAAATGATACAGAGATTCTTCCGCTTTTATGAAGCTGAAGTCACATTACTTACATATTTAACTTCCTTCATTGTTACATGCACAGAATCAATGTTTGTTTGCATGTTTTTGTTTGCTGTGATGACATTTAGGCTGCTCCTGTCATTTGTTCTTCTTACATACAACAAAGGTACAAAATCCTGTCATTTTACTATGATAAATATTTAATTAATGATTTCTTTTGGTGACAATCACTAAAGTGAAGGGCAGTTTTATTCTCTCTTAAATGTAATTTTTAATTCTTAATGTTTAGTTTACTCAATCTGTGTATGTGACCTTAAACGTTTTAATGCATGTGTGTTTCAGATGCAGTGGAAGCTCCAGTCCTGATTGTCAGCTCAAACTGGTCCAGTCCTGAACCCTGTAGCTTTACATGTAATGGAAGTAACATTACCGTCAGCTTAGTAGCAGCTGTTCTCAAGAAGACCTCAACATCCTCTGATAATCACACTCTAAGACTGAGCTGCAGTGGTGACTCCATCATATGTAACTACAGCAACCCAGTGAGCTGGAAGACTGATACAGAGAAGGTTAATAAACTCTGCACTGTTAATGAAGGTACATCCTGTATCCGCTCTGACCTGTAAAAACACTCTCAGATGAGGAAACAGAAAATAAATAAGAGAAAGTAAGTAAACACTGGACTGAGAGTGAGTAAACACTGGGAAAGCTGATCATTGTTTGTCTTATCTTTCATATCCACAAATACTGCAAGCTTGAGAAGCATCTCTGCATCTCTTCTGCCTATTGATAAAGTTGGTTGTTAGTGGTCTGTTTCTGTTTCTACAAGAAATAAGTTGATTCTGAGATTCTAAGTGGCTTTTTGTTTTCCTCTCCTGAATTTTTCTAAACTCATAACATTCTAAATCAATATTCAAACAATTAATATTATATTAAGGTGTGCATTCTACGATAACATCTACTTGTGTAGTTACAGCCCATCAAGCAACATTAGAGCGCCCCCTCAGGCTGAATTACGCAGAGACACTAGACCTCTGCCTCACCTACATTTATGGTCAGGACCCGCAGAACTTTCCACTCCCCTCAGCGTGTTTATGGGATTATGGTCTGACACTGATTTGCCCAGTTTGGTCCATTTGGCCCTTGATGTCTTACATTCATTACATTAGATAACAGAACATCAAAGTGCCATTTATTTAAAAGAAAGATAGCACTACCACACTTTTAATTATATTTTAGGGGAATGAATGAAGTGATAAAATGTATACAGTACCTTCAATGCAAAGTAAGCTGCTTTGAATAAAAGCATCTGCCAAATGCATTAATGTAAATATACTGTTCAAAATATAAAACAAAATGCTGTGGCACATGTGATTGTGAAAACCTGCGGGCAACTGACTGACACCCAACCACCAAAACAACCACTAATTAAATTTGGGGTTTTTTTAAAGCTCAAAAAAGTGAAGTTAGTTCTAGCGGAAGTGAGGGCAACTGACTGACACCCAACCACCAAAACAACCACTAATTAAATTTGGGGTTTTTTTAAAGCTCAAAAAAGTGAAGTTAGTTCTGAGAAAAGATCGATCATCTTTAATTGTAGATGACATTTGGTCTGACATTGTGTATTTTGTGTGGTTTAAGTATGCAGGTATATGGCGATAACATTCCACGTGTTTAGTTTCCAGAGTAGTTTCTGTTTTCATCTAAATAAGGTTATGAGGATATTCCCATTCCTCATCCTTCATTCATTCTGATCAATTTTTGTTTCATTAGTGAAGTGGTAAACTCACACATACTGCTGAGTAGGAAGTGTTTTTGCGGGAGTCTCAACTGACTGAGCACCGGAAAGTTTGGTTCTTTTTTTTTTATGCTTATGTTTCCGCCACAGACTGAGCTAGCTAAATCTGATTCTTATGACATCTCACTGTTTCCAAGCAACAGAGGTTTCTCTTTGTAGCCTTTTGTCATCTGTGGTTCTGTATGCGCCTTGATATCAAAATGTGCAGTGTGTAAAAAGTGTCAGAAAGTGTATTTTGCTGAATTCAGAAGTGATTTATTCCAGCGCTGTTGCTGTGAGAATGGAAGGATGTGGTGCAAAGTTGAAGTGTGAAGCTGTTGTATGCAAACCTTAAGTTTAAGTCTTTCTTTAAAAGTTGTGTAAAAGTTAATTAAACACCTTTTGATTGATGTGGTACAGTAACTACATGCAAACACCCACACATTAATAATGAGATATGGAGATGTTTATTGAAATGTGTTTCTACACTTGAGTTTCCATTATTTTGCCTTTTTAGGTTTATTGCTCTTGTTTTATTTCTGATTAAAAGCTAGAACCTCTGAGTTCAGCAGGGCTTGTTTTTTTTTTATCATTAGTGTGGCACTGAACTTCCGTATCTACTAGGAAGTCAATGTGGCGGCAGTCATTTTGAGTTCTGTTTCTTTTTAAGTTTTTAATCTTTTTAATTTAGGAGAATGTCAGTAAATCACCCACTCTTATTACTTTTTTTTCTTCTGACCTCCAAAACAGGTAAAAAAAAAAAAGTGTTTATTATACAAATGATTGATTTTTAATGGTTATTGTGACAGTGAGGACAGATATCACTGAGCATTTAATACTCTCTATAGGATACTGTATACAATAATGTAGTCTACTCTCAGTTTTTGATGATTCTCAGTTGTTAATTTGTAAATATTCTGAAACATACTCATACACACTGTAGTCTTTTAAGTTATTTTGAAATTGATCATTTTTTAAGTTACTAAAACAGCTGTTTAAAATCTTGATTTTTACTTTCTATTTTTATAAAGGCACCAGTGCTAATATCTGTTAGTATTTTTGTTAGAGTACTGAGATGACCTTTTCCTAATGTGACAGTAGTTTCTCATACCTTTTATTTTCACCTCCGTTGCAAGCAGAATAAAAAAAATGTCATCATTAATCATAGGCGTGGTGAGTTTTGTGTAAGTGTGTGATGGTCATAATCAAACTTTTTGGCAGTTCTGATCACAAAGCTCACCATTAAAGTAATATCATAAAGCATGTATTTACAGCATAGCTGCTTACTGAGACATATCTCAGTGCATCTTGTAAATAGGAAATATGAAGAGTCTCATCATATCAGTAATACAACATTAACTTATATTATCATAATCTTTTGTAATCAGTAGAACCATTTTATTTTAACAGCTAATTTTACAACTTCTTACCATATGTTGGTGGATTGTAGTTTCCAATAAACGGACATCTGATATGATCTGAAACAGACTTTAGGTGGTCAGCTCTATAAAGCCAACAATAGAGCTGACCAAAACACAGTCACAACAATGGACTAAAGATTATTGTTTAAACTAAAAGAAGCAGTTACCTGACTCTAATGGCTGGATTACTGATAGCTGTCATTTGTGTTTGTGCTCCTTATTGGATTTTTACATTTTTGTTTGTGACAGAAGAAAATGCAAACATGACCCAGATGATTTTTCTGCATCTGAGGGTGTTTAACTACATCCAAACAATGAGAGAAAATAACAGATTTTGTACTTATTTAGAAACGTGTGTTCATATAGAGTTCTTTGACATTGAAAATGTGTATTTGAACATATTTTTCCACTGCTTTGCAGAATGCGAGTTACATGATACATTTTGAGTACTCTGCTTTTGTTATTTGATAAGTGCATTAAAGCTGATGCATACTGTATATAATTTTTAAAATCTTCATACTTCAAAAACATTCCAATTTTTTTTTTTACAAAATATTAGGCATTTTTTTCACAAATCAGGGCTATTTTATTTATTTTTCATGAATACGGCAATGGCATTAATATTAAAATCAAACTCAAACTTTAATATTCTTGATCATTCCCATTTCAGAAAAAAATCTGATGTACAATGGGTCTAGTGTGTTCACCAGCTGCACTCAGAAAACAAGTATCTTTCTCTCTCCTCAGGGTTCAGTGCTGAGATCTCTGTGTTTGTGCAGACGGGAGCGTCTGTTCAACTGGATATACAGACACAACAACTACCAGAGTTTGATCTTTTGTCCTGGATGAATGATAAATTAGAGAGTATAGTTAGATATAACAGTGATTCCAAAATAGTAAAACTTCACAATCCCTACAAGGACAGAGTGGATTTCAATGATACAACCTTCTCTCTGACACTGAAGAACATGCAGAAGACAGACAGCGGACTCTACACAGCAAGAATAAGTGGATTAATAAACAAAGATTTTGTTGCATACAGAATATCTGTTATAGGTGGGTGTGATTTTGCTTTGTGTGTTCAGCTCATAAGACTTAATTATGTTGATGTATTTACTCTGTGCAGTATTATATAGTACAAGTGGTGAAATTATTCCAATGTTCCAATCATGCTTTACACACAGATGATGTCAAGAAATGATATGTGGTAAAATAAAGTTTTGGTATTAGTCTAGCCTCTATCGGATTAAAGGCAAAAGCACTGCTGTGATACAAACAAAAATTCTGAATAGGATTAAAAATGCAGGTTGTTGTTACACTATCTTACAAAAGTTTGAGGATGTATTATTTGCTATTTTAAACACAGTTGATCAACTAATCTGATGTATCTTTGTGGAATATATATTCTTTCAGATGCTGTGGCGGCTCCTGCCCTGACTGTGAACTCAAACTGGTTCAGCAGTGACTCCTGTACTGTG